GGACCCCAAACGGGGTGACATTGTCCCTGGCTTTCTGCGCGAACAAGCGCAGTGGCATGGCTTCGATATTCTTTTTCTGCAGGAAACGAGAACACGTCAGTCCAACATGATCCAGTCGCAAACGCATGTCCGGATCACTGCGGCAGCGCAGCAGGGAGTCGGAGGAGTAGAGATATGGCTCTTGCGAAGACATGTGAACAACAGCCGGTTGATTTTTGATGCCAAGGCCATACAGGTGGTCATTGCAGAACCACAACTCCTCATCCTTAAAGTGGCTCTGCATGGTTTTCCTTTGCTTTTAGTCAATGCCCATTCTCCGCACTCTGGGGCGCCGAAGGAGACGATCCAATCATTCTGGGATTCACTCCAAAAGCAGTTAGATCGCCTGGTTGGCTCGACATATCTTATCATGGGAATCGATGCAAACGCCCACTTCTGTGATGAGTTGCCAGGGTGCATTGGGGCTGAGGGACTAGAGTCAGCCACTAATTATGCCGGAGAGTGTTTTCGTAGGATGTTGCTACATTTGGATTGCCAGCTGCCAAGTACCATGGTAGGGGTACATGAGGGGTCCACGTGGACATGGCAAAGTTCGTCCAACGGGGCGACAGCCCGCTGTGACTATATCATGATCCCACAGCACCCCGTGCCTGCGCTGCTGAGGTCATATGCTCTGGAGACGCTCGACATAGGAGGACGTGTTCCTGACCATAGACCTCTGGTCTTAGAGCTAAAGGTTCAGAGGATAAAGCAAATCACCCAACAGTCAAGAGTGTCTTTTGATCGACGTGCACTGCAGTCCGCAACCCCGCTAGATCTGGAGCAGGTTTTTGCTGATTTCCCACAACGTGCATGGTCAGAAGATATTGAGACCCATGCGACGAATCTTTCTGCGCAAATTCAGGAACGGCTGCACAAAGCCTTTCCGCCTAAAGTGAATGATCCAAGGAAAGGCTATATATCCCAAGAGGCATGGGCGATTCGAGCATCGCGGATGAGGATAAGGCAGCAAATCCAGACTGCAAGGAACTCCCTCCACCACTCCACCCAGCAAGCTGCATGGGACAGTTGGAAACGGATGGAGCCGCTTGACGTCAGTAAGCTCCTTGCGAAGACTTGCAAATGCTTTGTTTCCTTGTGGAAGCTGAAGCTTTTAAGCTCCACTGAAGCTAAGCGCCTCAAAAAACAACTGCGATGCGATCGTACCCTTTTCCTTGAGAATCTGGCCAAGCAGATGCCAACTATGAGCCAGGCTGATTTCTTCCAGGCGCTGCGAAGTGCAGGAGTGAAAAGTGCAAAAAAGCCTGGGCCCATACAGCCGCTGCCGATGCTAGCAGAGGACGATGGTACACCCATTCTGGATCTGAACCGGATACGAGAAAAATGGAGAACATACTTTGCGGCGCAGGAGGACGGGGTTGCTACCACGCCAGAGGGGTTGATGCAGATCTGTGATGAGCTAGGAAAAAAGGGGCGACCATTGCCGCAATGGGATGATTTGCCCACTATCCTGCAGATCGAGCGCCAATTTCGTGCGACCAAAAAGGCCAAAGCTTACTTTGTAGACGGGGTACCTGGAGATGTCTTAAATAGGGCACCGTCTCTAATGGCCAGGTTGTACTACCCTCTTTTCCTAAAAGAGGTGATGATGCTTAGAGAGCCATGCGTCTTTAAGGGGGGCACGCTTGTCCCTGCTTTCAAGAGAGGAAACCCGGCATGTTGTAGCAGCTATAGGAGTCTTTTGTCAGCTCGCCTGCAAGCAAAGCATTACATGCGGTCTACCGCAAAGAGCTCATAGCTGACTTTGCTCAACGACGCCTTCCTATACAATTGGGGGGTATACCAGGATTCTCAATTACCCAGGCGGCGCATGCTGTGCGTCTGTTCCACCACACAGCTGCAATCAAAGGCCGCAGCTCAGGAATCCTTTTCGTCGATGTAAGCAATGCGTTTTACCGGTGGCTCAGAAGACATGTGATCTCCTCTCAAGTTGATGACCGAGCTTTTGAGACGATCTTTGCAGAGATGGGATTGCCAGAGCATGAATATGGTGATTTCCTTGCTTTGATAGAACCAGAGCCAGCAATTGAGGCCTCTGAGGTGTCACCTTACGTCAAAGAGCTTTTTCGAGCATTTTATGAGGCCACGTGGTTCCAGATCCGAGACCATGATGTCTTGACGCGCACGCGTCAAGGATCGAGACCGGGTGATACTTTTGCTGATATGGCATTTGGGTACGCCCTGCATCGGGTTTTGGCCCCAGTCTTTGCTGCCTTGGAACAAGAATTCCCTGACATTGCCATACAGGCAAGTGTATTTGTCCACCCGTATAGTGTCACCGAAGAGGTTGTGAGCTTGGGCGTTTTGGCGCCTATTTGGGCGGACGATCTTGCGGTTTCTTTTGCCGCAGATTCTGTTGAAGATGTGATTTACAGAGCTAAACGGATCGCTGGAACTATTTTTGACCGACTAACGCTTGCGGGATTAACACCCAATCTTGCAAAAGGCAAGACAGAATTGATGCTTACTTGCAGAGGTAAACGCTCTCTGGAAGCCAGGAGACAATTGTCTCACCAGGGGCATGAAATTCAAACATCCTCGAGACTTGTCCTGGATAAGCTGCGACTTACTGGAAGCTATAAGCATCTGGGGACATGGGTTGAACAAAAGCAGGGCATCCGAAAGGATGTGTCTACAAAGTTTGCTGCAGCCCATGAAGTGATGACGCGCTACCGAAGTCAAATTTTTCGAAACCGACAGCTGTCTCTAGACAAAAAGAGACAATTTTTCGACTCGTTAGTTTTCTCAACAATGTCCTTCAACATGGCTTTGTGGCAATCCCCCACGAAAAGGCAGGATCGACAACTGGAAACAGGGTTTTCGAAACTTTTCAAACGTTTTGCCATCATGCATTTCGGACAAGACGCCATCCCTTGGTCAAACGAACGTGTTCTCCACGAAACGGGGCTACATAGCCCAGACACTCTACTGTCTGTCGCACGTCTACGGTATGTCAACCATTTGATGAGAAACGGCCAGCTACATGTCTGGGCTTTGATACGAAGTGAGCAGATATGGTGGCAGCGAGTTGAGGAAGATATAGCATGGCTTCAGCAGTTTTGTCCCGAAGCTGATGTGCCATCACCAAAGCTTGACTGGCAGGCATGGAAAAGCTTCATGGAACAGCCGGCCTCTAAATGGAAGGCCCTGCTGAAGAGAGCTTCGGCCCGAAGCAAAGCTTATTTTCAAAGACGTTTTGCCTGGGAGGAGTGGCATGCCAAGATTTTCCATGACATACTAGAGGCTGGATTGGGCTGTTCCACAACCCCTGTTTCTAAAGCTTCTCATTACTGCCTGCAATGTGAAAGGACTTTTATCAGTGCATCAGCCTGTGCTGTACATTCGTTCAAGAGACACAATAGGGCAGCCAGGGCGCGCGATTTCGTTACTGGTGAAGTCTGTGAAGCATGCCTCAAGGTGTTTTCTTGCCACGTTGACTTGCTCAACCACGTGAACAGGCAGACCGCGTGTTTCCGACTTTACGAAGGGCGCGGGCAGCAGGTCGAGAGAGAGCCGGGTGTCAACAGCAAGCAAGCGAACAAGGGACGGTCTGAATTAGCTGATCCATATATGCAAGCTGAGGGACCTAGACCAGTCTGGGAAGAGCTCTACGGGGCGCGTACTGTGCTTGCTGAACAGAAGATAGCGCTACACCGTTCGTGGGGAACAGCTGTTCAAGGGCTGGAGCAATCGGATGACATCCTAGAAGCCCTCCGACTGGCAACTAAGGTCACCTTTCTCTACCATGAGGAGATATTGCAGTGCTTCGACGACTGGAGCCAAAACTGGCTCGGTCTCCACGAGGAGGCGCCCCTAACCATGATGTCGGCATTCCAGCTGTTCAAGATCAGTGCCTGCGGAGAGTGGTTTCTTGAAGGCAGATACGCTGACCAACATGAGCATGATAGGGCAATGGCTTTCTTCTGGAAGCAGTCGCAGGACATGAGAGAGCTTCGGTACGAGCATCCAGAGAGAGTCCGCTACAGGCCCCGAATGGTGGCTCACCTATTCTCAGGGGCTAGGCGCAACTTAGACGTACAGGAACACCTGGAACAGAGAAGTTTCATGGCTGTTTCAATCGATATTATTTTTGACGCCAGGTGGGGCGACTTAAGCCGTGAGGAGACCTTTAATCTCTTTGCCGAAGCGCTCCGTGCAGGCTACCTCGTGGCGTGGATCGCTGGCCCGCCGTGCGAGACATGGTCCATCGCACGCTACAATGTGCTCCCTGGAGGCCCCAGACCGGTCCGCCGACGGGGATCCCCGTGGGGGAATTTCGACCTCACATTGAAAGAGCACCAACAGGTGGCGATTGGGAGCCTGCTGCTTGGCATCACGATCAGGCTCATGTGGATCACGATTCTCGCTGGTGCCACTTCTGTCCTTGAACACCCAAGCGATTTGAGCCTAGATGTCAACCGTCCAAGCATATGGCGACTTGAGATCATTCGCTACCTTCTGCGTTTTCCACAGTGTGACTTGGTAGAGATATTGCAGGGCCATTTTGGAGGTGCTACTCCTAAGCCAACTACTCTTTTCATTATCAACGGTGCTGTCGATAATGCTGGGCTTCTCAAATCCCTGCAGACAACACCTCTCCCAAAGACTTGCGCCTTCGGTCGCGGTGAGGACGGCAGTTGGAAAACTGCAGCCCTTAAGGAATATCCGCCTGGCCTGTGCAAGGCTCTATGCTGTATAGTTGAAGCAGGCCAGACGAATGGTCCACAGGAGGAGGACGCTGAAATTCCGGCTGTCTTCCTCGAAACCATTCGCGAGCTGACCAGAGATTTCAATTTTCTGGCCGAGCGAGGACCTGACTTCCACGCTCCTACTGCATGAATTCATAATTAGATGCCTGGTCGCGGACGACAGTCTAAGGCAAGCAAGAAAAAAAAAGAGCAAGGACGCTACTCCAATGAACTGCTCGTACTCCAAGGCACTGGAGGCCCAGTGCAAAGCCGTTCGCCCAGATTTCTTGTCTGCAAAGTCCACCAAAGCCTGACGCACACATTGCTCGCCCAAAGCAGAGAAACAACCGCGCGCTGAGCTGCACCTTTTTCCCAGCTGTTCCAAGGAAAGAAGGGGATGACCTAGTGCAGTGCTCTTCTGGTCACGGCATGGTCGCGCGACTTCCTAAACGAACTCGGATCTCCCTCGATCAGCTTTCTGAGCCAAGTCACTCGTGCGGAGGGCAAATGGTTTGGTTGAAAGTTTGCATCGAAAGTTTGCAGCAAGTGATACATGACTCAGCTCAGTGAGGGTGCTCCAGCATCAATCACATAGTAGCCAAAGCTATCTGCATTCAGAAGGGCTTTGGCAGGATCTTGTTTGGCCAAAGCCTGGGAAGAGAAAAGATAAGCACTGAAAGCGTATTCTTAGCCACCCTTTGTGTCCTTTGGCCATGAAAGCTTTCCAGAACAGCATTTGTCCGGCCTTGCAGTTGGACTTCCCATAGGCCATCTCACAGTCACTCGGGGAGAAGGTCGTGTCAGCGATTGAAAAGAGGGCGGCGTCTCCATCTTGGGCAAAGCGAAGAACCGTCATGGAGTACATGAGCCGATGATCTAAGACCTCAGTGCAGTGTTCCAAGGCAGATAAAAAAAGGCATGCTACAAAAATCCATAGAATTGTTTCCATGGAGACAAACCACGCGGTATGGACCTAAACTTGCCCTTTCCTAGCTTTAAAGGGTTCTTCAAGAAGTGGTTAGAAGATGTGGGCTCTTGGCAGGTGCCAAGTGCACCAAGTCGCATCAAACCTCTGAACCATCCGAGAGGCATCGAAGGAGAAAGGCTGACGACACACCAAAGATGCTTTCGGATGAGGAGTGCCATAGAGAATGTTGAAAGTCATCCTTTGCGTATCCAAATCTTTGAAACATCCATAGGGCTTCTCCTTGCTTGCGATATGCCCACCATAATTCAACTCGAAGATGTCGCCGGCTTCCAGGCCTGCAGTTCAGGGCAGTGGCAGTACGTACTGAAGCAGTGAGCTACAGAACAAAGAAGTGTTCTCTCATGGAGGATGATGAAAAAGGGAAAACCACGCAGATTAGGACTTTGGTTTGAGATTTCAACAAGATCTGACCAAGTTGCACTGGGAGACCTTCACCACGTGAACCATTTGGTCTGGACACTTCGTGGCATTGGGCTTCAAGATTTCGAACGGCATGGCCAGTTCGCAACCTGAAGAGCGGGCAGGGTGCGCAGCAACACTTCTTCAGCTTTTCAGACCTTTCTTCCTTTTCTGTTTCTTTGTTTCTAATAGCAATGGCCTCCAACCTACTAGCGATGGCCTCCACCCTAGTGGCGATGATTCTCTTCTTTATTCCTCTTTCTGCTTTCCTTAAGACATGCACATTCTGAAATCGATCCAAGTGTCCGTGCCCTGGGCGACGGATCGCGTATTTGTCAGGGCAGGTACCGTTTGAGGCGACCTTCGTGGGGAGTGTGGCGCACAGCATTTTCGCCGACTCCGAAGGACTTCCGGGGCCGGTGTTGAAATAGACACCTGCGATGGTCAGAATTCCAAAGTTGAACTGCCATGTCGACTCGTTATAGGGGCTACCAGGGGCTCCTGGACTTACCTAGTAGTAACAAGAAGCTGACCATGAATTGTCCACCTTGGAAGGGCCCAACGTCGATGTGGTAGCAACCATTCGGAAAATCTTCGGTAGATTCCTCCTGGAAAGCTTGGGGAAAGCGTGGCTGTGCGGTCTGTGCAATGTCCCAAAGCTTCACACGAAGCAATGCAAGCAAAAAAAGCTGTGTGCAGTCCTTGATGAAATCCACCCCCAACATCAACGCAGCTTGACGGCAGTCTTCGACCGTCTTTAAATTGGCCATGTTGGCTGGGCACTCGGAGTGCTTGTACATGCCCACCGCAAAGGGCTGCCTGCAACTCTCACAACCTAGCTGGACCTAGCCCCTTCCAAGTTTTATCACACATTCTTTCGGGTGTAATCATGTAAGAGTCCCTAAAGGGATCCGAATTTTTGGATGGAATTCTGAATTGCAGTCCAAGCCCAAAGATACAGGGCTTGTTGCAGTTGTAGTGCTACGGGGATGGAGGCAGCAGCCTCCAGAAAACACTAATTTTCTAGGCCTGGCTCACTGGCGCAACGACGAGGCGATTTCTATCATCCGAAAATGCACACCGCACCACAACTGGAGCCTTGCGTGCTTCACGTGCCCTGTTTCCTGTGGGACTGGGGTCGAGAATCAACCTTCCGCACACAGGCACAAGCTGTCCTCCGGATTTCGAGAGCGCCTTGACCTAGATACCGGTCTTTCATTATGTCACTGCTTCATTGAAGAGAGAGAGGTGGTTGAAGTGCATCATTCTGAAAGTCTTTTGACAGTGAGGTCTTCGGTGTGCCTGGTCCAATTGGAAAGTCGGAGGATCTCTCTGCCTGGCACGTTGCAGCTGAGGCCTCCCACACTGAAACGAGGCTTCAACGACCCGCTGCAGGCGGAGCCTGAGAAAGTCAACTCTACTCCAAACGGTTCGATGAAGTAAGGGCATCGCTAGTAGGAACAAGGGCACTAGTAGCAAGGATGCTACTAGTAGCAAGGTGCCTTACTAGTAGCTAGAAGGCTAGAAGCCACTAGTAGCAAAGGGCATTACTTGTGTTCCTCGCATGATTTGCCACGTGGCCGTTCAAGTTGATCAAGCCATCCACGCTCAGCCACAGGTAGTGAGAGCGCGCACACATGTAAACGTCGTCGGAGTACGCGAACTCATGGTGTGTCGACTCGTGGACCTCTAGCCGAGAACGAAAGCACAGGAAGCAAACGAAGTAGATAGAAGCCAAAGCCTTTGGGCCCCTTTAGTAAGGACCCCATTCTTAAAGAGGCCTTTACATTCTTTCTCATTTTCTTTTTGATCTCTTTAGTACCCTATAAACTATAAACCAAACGTGTTCCGAATGAAGCTGGCTGAGATTCCATGGTTTGCACGGCATCTGGCAACAATCCCAGCTTTTCAGCATAGACGGTCAACGGGCAAACCTCAGCTCCAAGTGTTCTCGGACTCTTCAACGCAACACACGGGTCTGTCCAGGACGGTCTGTCATTCCAAGCAGCGTAGACCACGTATTGTCCTTTCTGATTCTTCCGGAAGGTGTCCACCAAGTCCGGAACACCATTGCTGCCCGAGGGAAAGACAAACGCAAAGGTGTTCTCATCACACTCACTGGTGTTGTAGATGAACCTGGATTGACAATGGTTTGTCTGTGTCGGCTTGGAACACACAACATATCAGTGTCAAATGAAGGAACTGTTGAAACGCAAAACTTTTCTCAACGGCATAAGTGTCTTCGTTGTCTGTGAAAAAGGAGCACCCAAAGACATCTTAAAACGAAACAAGAAGTTGCGACTCGAATGAAACACATCTTCTCCGTCTCGGTGCACACCCGCTTTGTTTCTCCGGGTGGCTCCGCGGAGTCCATGACGTGCACTGCGGAGTTTAAGACGCGAAGCAACTCACGGCGGGTGTCCTGGAAAGCCAGATTCTTCGAGCTGCAGAAGCTACTAGGAACAAGTGCATCGCTACTAGTAACAAGTGCCTTACTAGTAGTAACAAGAAGCTATTAGAAACAAGTGCCACGCTAGTAGTAACAAGTGCCTTACTAGAGAACAAGAAGCTACTAGGAACAAGTGCCTTACTAGTAGTAACAAGAAGCTACTAGGAACAAGTGCCTTACTAGTAGTAACAAGAATTAGTATATTGTTTCTACTAGCAAACATTGTTCCTAGTAGTAAGGCACTTGTTACTAGTAGCTTCCTACCCCCCTCCTAGTAGATTCCTGTGTGCCAGATTCTTCGAGCTGAAGTGTCCACAAAGACCAAGTTCCTTTGTTCCTAGTAGCGTGGCACTTGTTACTAGTAGCGACGCCAGGAGCCCCGTTCGTAGCGTTCTTGTTACTACTAGTAAGGCACTTGTTACTAGAAGCGATGCCCTTGTTACTGTAAACTCGAAAGGTCGCGGCTTATTTTCACACTCAAAGAACCCTTGTGCCTATATGGCGTCGTGAGCAACAGCAGCAGGGTCAACTGGGAGTGGTTTATTCACGCGCCCAAACTATACTGTTGACCCTGCTGCTTTTAGAGCTTTCAAATTGGACCGCCAGCTTCCTTTGGTCAAGAGTTTTGTAAGACCATCCGCTAGCTGGCAGCCCGTGGGGATCGATTTCAAGGACCTTCCAAAAGCCACTCGGTCTCTTGGACTCCAAGCGGCAAACTCCTGCTGTACCATCTGCCTCAATGTCGCCAGGTCAGCCAGCAAGCGCTTCTCCGATGGTGCACGTGGGCCTCCAGCGCGATGTACCGAGTCGTACAGACTCTTGCAGTCCGTCATCGACAGCAGCGGCAACTCGCCCGGGCACCCAGCCGGAAAGCACCCTCTGAGGAAATCTCGAAATTTAAGTCCGGCTTTCCATCCATCCAAGGCTGCCATTGTTTCCGAGGCAAAGGTGCTCCTACATACCCTCTGGCATGTATGTGACTTCCATGCTGCCACGATCCCGGTCCCTGTTTCTCCCAACAGAGTGTTCCTGTGTGTGATCACCACCACATAGCCCAGCCGTGAATAGATGCCGGTGTCGTTGGTCTCGGTGTAGTCCACATGGTCGTACTCGTTGGTCACGTTGGCCCATGCTGCATCGTGGTAGACGATGACCACCAAGTCCTGCCAACCTCCTAACTTGCGGTAGGCAAGCTTCTCGTCCTTCTCCCTCTGTGCCATGCGAACCACATGGTTGGTCGCCTTGATGTCATCATATGTTGGTGACTTCTGTTTTCTCTGGGCCATTGGGGCCCCCACTTGGATGTCTGGTCTGGTCAGGGATGCCAGGCGTGAAAGTGCGCCGACCGTCGATTGATTGTTCATCTTGGTCGCCTCGTCCGCCTGGTCCTCGAGCTGCGCTCCTTTTGGGATGTCCACGGTCTGTAGACAGTTGTTCACAAAGTTCTCCTGGCTCAAAGTGACCTGCTGGTTGT